CGCAATTTAACACACTCTATTTTAATACATAAAGGTTGCTATCTATGATTCAGACATAGTAAACCAAAACCTCTTATCTACAGACTACAAACAAACAGTTGTATTCATTTTAACCAATATATTTTAAATTTATGTCAAAACGTAGCAATCTAGAGAAACACCAGATTACACTTATTGAAAGGGATGGAGAGGGATGAATTTAAACTCCTAAACTGACACTTTGCATGAGACAATTATAAAGAAGCTATGGTTCAAATTTCAAGTTTCTAGAACCACGGGAAGTGCACCAAAAAATGTATTTTTTTCGTTACAGACATTTTTGTTGACCATCAGACATAAGACATATTTATGCCAAAACACGACAGAATTGCGATAGTTAGCAAAATAAAAACTTTAATTGATAGTTTGTGTTATGAGTTATATCTAGGCAGTTAAAACTTACAGATTGTTTGAACAAATTTCAAATATACTTTAAACCTATCAAGCACAATAATTTTGTCTTATTCTGTTATATAAAATGCAAACCATTCACTGAATTGTTCAATGTAAGCAGAAAACATTTTAAATCAAATTAAATATATTATTTTGCTTTTATGTTGTACTTATATAGGTAGGTATAGTCACAATATACTGCTCTGACTTATTGTTTGATAAAAAGTGGTTCATATGAAAAATTGCAATATTTGATTTAGTAATACAGCAGTGAAAAACAAATGACACTACCTTGGAATAAAATAATATACTAAGCGTTTTTAACTTATGTGGATAGGTGTACTAAAAAAATTGCGTGTAGAACACTTAAGATGATTGTAAGCATTTACAAATACCGGTGCCTGCTATTTATTTCACAGGATTACTTTCATTTTCTCTATGTTGTTTAATGTTTTTAGTACATACATCATAGTAGATAGTGTACATTAATATACATAATTCTCAAGGTAGCTTTTATCACTCATAAAAAATATAAAGTGGGTGGGACGAAAAAAAAAACGTGGTAATATGGTATATACTATATAGTTCACCTTAAACGTCATATTTATTATTTTTCGTGAGTGGTTCTCGGAACTAAGCTATACACATTAAACGAAATTAATATTAAATAATATTTTGATTGCAAATTTATAGAAACTTTTAAATTTATCCTTTTGTTCTCTTTATCTTGTATATATTAATACAATTTACAATAATTTTGAGAATTTTGATGCTAAGAAAAAATTAAGTGTTCAATAGTGTGTAACGATCGTCGGCATCTACTTTACAATATTCCAGTACCGTCACTTGAAACCTTAAATTTATAAAATTATTTTGTGTACTTATAAAAATTACTGAATAATAAAATAGTTTAAATCAGTCATTGGTTATAATTAAATATTAAATTTTAATTATATTGGTACCTACACTTTTTTGAGTACACTTTTACATTTCTTATTATTTTTAAATACCTATATAATTTATTTGAATCTTGACTTTAATTAAACTATTTTATTTCATCACAAACATAATATTTATTTTTTTTAAGTACTATTATGATACTAGTTTAGAAGTTTTAATCGGTATAGTCGTTTTAAGAAGATATAAATTATGTTTAACTTACTTGTAAGTATAAAATAAAATAATTCCGTAAGGTCTTCGTAGTTTTACAAACAAGCTTTTAAATGTAGAGTATTTTCGTATTATAACTAATATTTAATTATTTTTGATTTTATAAAAATTAAATACCTAGTTCATTATTTAATGTATGTATGTATAAAATACACTGGAACTATAATATTGATCGCTGTAGACATTGATGTGTATTAAAGGTATAAACCGTTATCAAAGTTATAATGTTTCCAAATTATTTAACAATGCATTTGAATTTTGGGTAAGATATAATTAGTTACCTATAATTTATTTCCATTAACCAACTTATCATATTTAAAAATTTAAACATTTATATAATATAAAACGTATATTATAAAACATAATACTTGTATACACTATACGTACATGTGCGTTAAGTAAAATATTATTGATTATTCATACTTAAACCACAGTCGGACATTGTAATAGTGTGTGCCTAGTAAAAATGTAAACAATTAGTTTATTTGATTAAAATGAATATAGGTTGGTAGTTAGTAGTTATAATAAATTATTCAATAGACTCAAATCAGTCAAAGTCAAACATAATATTTAAGATAAACACAGCATATAGTTTTTATCTTTTTAAAATGACGGTAAACTGTCTCGCAAAACATAGGACTTATTTTTAACTTTATCTCAAGTATAGGTAATCGTTAAGTTAGACTAATTTATATTTAAATTATTATTATTTTTAGTTTTACATTAATTTTCATGACTTAAAAATGAATTAATACTTACTTATTTTAAAATAAATTAGTTCATTCAGTAAGTATTGTTTTAAAAGATAAAACATGTACACAACAAATTACATGGTAAGGGTGAAATATAATGTACTAATATTTATGTACTTGTCGGAATGTTTTGGCATCTAAGCGTTCATGATAAAAATATAGAAATGTATTTAATAATTTATTATTCTATCAATATTAATATTTTAGAACAAATAATATAACGCTTCATGCATTAAATAAACTTTCAAGATATGGTATGTAAATTCTAAGCTAAACTATTCTCTACAATTATGTATATAGCCTCCAGGAACTCGTCCCTTTCCCCCTTCTTCGTCATAGCCACTAACTTGCCCACAAATCAAAAATTGTTTGAATATACATTGATTTAATACATGGTGTACGAAGGAGTTAACCAAAACTGTAGACTCCAGACTCCAGCGAGTTTTACTTCGGAAGGATATTGATCAAATGATTAACACGAATTTACCCCAAGCCACAAACTTTCCTTGCTTGAGGGACTTGATGCTTATATACACTGTACATCGTGTATAATTATTATTTTTAACTGTATGTCAGTCGTGTTGTGAGAAATATGACACGAGCATAACATTATACTACCTACCTATAGCATTCTATATTTTAGACAACATAATTATTAATAGTGGTACACTGTTTTGGTTGCATTATAATATTTATAGACAAAATAAAAAAAGATAATAATACGTTTAACCGGGGAAATAATTAAAATAATTTTTACTCGGAAAAAATACACATCATAGCTTTGCCATTAATGTAATGAAAACACAACACGCTATTATGAATATATAATATGCTGTACGAATAAATTATACATGGTCGTATTTCTTCATCGAAACTAACATAAAAATAAATTATAATCAGGTATAATGATTATTAGGCTCAACAAATTTCACTAAAATTTCTGTTCAGACATTAGTAATAATATTGTAAATGCATCAATAAAAAAAATGTATCATGATGATAATATGTAACTCGCCAACATAATTGGCATAACAAGTGACTTGATATTTTAGTTAAGCAAATATTATATTTTATAATAATAGTTAGTATAATGACAAATAAGATGTATAATTTTTTATGTATAATATTTATAATATAAAAATGTGTACCTTTAGGTACATTTTTTTACATGTTTACCACATTTTTATATGAAAAAAAACTTTATGGACCTGGTTAAAATTTGATTTGTAAAATGCATTGGTACATTTCACGATGTGTAGGTACATTTTTGGATATTGTTCGTATTTATAAGAAATAATAATTCTTCACAACTCCTTAATACGATAAAAATTAGAATGGATTTACTATTTATAGCTTTCTCGACCATAACACCCTAAAAATACCTAACAAACTGTACAAAACGCTGGTATAAGAATGACCACGGGTTTTTTCAGATCAAGATAAGTTGATAGTTTGTTGTTCGAAACTAGCTGGACGTAAGACAAAAATACCTCAACACAAAATATACAGCCAAAAATATGTCAACTCTCCAAACACCCATCATGATATCGTTTCATAATCCCATCGCAACCTTCTCCTGTAACCATTACGAGTATCTAATACATAAAGCATCATGACATCCTAGACAAGGTATCTCTCAACATCAACAAAATAAAACATAAATGACTCATCTCGAAAATCACCCAATTGAACAAATCCGGTATAGATCCTAATTTAGAACTCTATTTGAGCTTAACAAAAATGACACTCTTCGCATTGACTAATAATCATCAATAAACTTTTAACGAAATAGTAAACACAATACATTTAAAAATTACTATCAAATCTATACAGACACTTCTGAAACAATAAAAATAATATAAATGACAGTGGAAGGTTTGAAGTTTCTACGATTGATATTATTAAATAAATAAATAAATATCGTTTCAGGAAAAATCGTTATTATACGTATAAATATCTGATTTTGTCATAATTTGAAGTTCAAACGCTCTTAAAGAAATGTATATATATATTAGGTGAAAATATGTTCTCTAAAGTTATTTAGTTTTGAACTACAACGAAAAAAAAACAGATTTTTTCAAACATTGGTACAACGTGAATATATTCCGTTTTTCCGGAATTGTTTTTTAGTTTTTCCCGATGATTAAAAAAAAATACAAGTAAATTTTGAACGGTTAATCCCCCTCCCTACCCAAAGTAGCGACTATATCCATCTTGCTAACAGAAACAACTCTGAAAGTTGAAGATCAAAGTATTTATTTTTTTTTACTATAAAAAGTGTTTTCAGGCAGTAAGAACACACATCGTTGTAAAACCAATACACATTCATTGCTCCGTTCTGCAGAATCTAAAATGAGATTTATATCCGTTTCAATAGTTTCAGCATATATTATTATACATTACCTATGTTATAACTATCTCTGATTTTGTATTATTTATTACTGTTGAAGGAAATGTAACAGTACCTACGTTTGTAAACCATATATGTAAATATAGCCTATATATTTAAGCTCATGTAGGTATTATTTTATATTATATTTTCTTTAAATTTGAGCAAGGAAAACCAATTGGAGTTTTATTGAATATAAAATATAAAATATAATATAAATAAATCATTGATAATTACCTAAAATAAACTATGTTAATCTATACAATGCTTTCTACTTCAGCGCATGGTTTAGCCTTGCTGGTGTAAACCATATCCTGCATTGGGATGGACTTGTGGTTTGGATAAAGTACGAACGATTCGCATATCTTTTGTTGATTGCTGTTCTGCGTTCGCGGTGTGAATATCCGGACATTATTTTTATCATTCAAACGACCTTCCGACTGAAAAAAAAAACAAATTGTTGTGTGGGAATTTATTTTAGTTAATCAAAAAGAAAATAATTTGTGTATAATCGTATATGATATTTTTCTAATTAATTTCAATGTCTCGTTCTCCCATATCAAGATGTAAAATTGCTTACGTACATTTCACCAGCCCCACCAAGTATAATTTTTGAAATTTTTTTTTGTTAAACATTAGTGTGCCATTTCAGAATTTGTGCTATACTAGTTTAACCGTAAATTCAAAAATATATATGGGGGGCTGGAAAAATGTTCCCCCACCTCATTGAAAACATGACAATTTTTAAATTTTTCTTTTGCCAAACATTAGTGTGAATTTGTGCGACCAAAACTAGAATTTTTGCGACACCCGTTGTACTCGGAAAAATCATTTTTCCTTTTTTGGTATTTCCCCTGCTTATTAAATGTAAATATGTAAATGTACAAACTATAGACAACACAATATTATATCAATGAATCAAAATAAGGGTTTTAATATTATGTACCTATGTAATTAATCTTTTTAATATAAGCTAAATTAATTTTATTATTTATAATTAAAATAAAGAATTCATAAATACTTTCTTGATACTTAGTTAAAATGTTTTAATTGGTTGATAAAATGTATCTAATTTCGTCAGTGAAGTAGCAGAACACTTTTTTCTAGTTGTATTTTCTTTTGTTATTTAATAGATTATGTATATTTAAAATTACTTACAAGATTTTTTTTTTTTATAAAATAGACCGTTCTATGTTTATTGAATCCATAGTGATAAATTATATAATTACAGATACAGTGAAATTAGTTGGTAACTTAACTACTTACGTGTGAGTGCACTAATTGCAGTGATTATATGTATAATGAATAGATAGAAAATTCAACATTACGATAAAAGATGAGTATAAATATGACATTTATCTTAGAATTGATATTGTTGCGTTATTAAATTTGGCAACTTTGTACAATGGTGGCATCGTATTTTATTATTTAATACGCGCAAGGTAAACCAATAAGGTTAGCGTGCAAACGTTTTCTACCCGCCCCGCTTATTCCACATGGTTGAATCACTTTTCTAAAAATGAGATACAGTGCCTATGTCCTGTGGTCACTGAAATCAAGAAACTTTGGTAGCCTGGGTACAAGGATGGTATAGCTTACATTTTATATAATATAACTATAATTTATTATTATTTTACGTCATTCGCACATACATAATTGTAGGCACTGAAGGCGTATGGTAGTGTAGATTGCCGAACATTTGAGGTACTGATCTGTCGACATATTTATAATATTATTATTACACGCAGATAATCACCAAACAACATTAGAACACGAATATTAAAATGTCCAAATATTGTACTGACTAAATATAGGAGGTCAGAGTGGATCGGGCCCACATTAACTTACTCTGACACAGGCCCACTCACTCACTACACAAAATATAATTATTTTTACTAAGTATCAAGAAAGTATTTATGAATTCATTATTTTAATTATAAACAACAAAATTAATTTAGCTTGAATTAAAAAGATTAATTACATAGGTACATAATTTTAGAAACCTTATTTTGATTCTTTGATATAATATTGTGTTGTCTATAGTTTGTACATTTACATATTTAAATTTAATAAGACCTACCAAAACTAATGCTAATGTGCAATAAAATAAATTAAGTAGGTACAATTTATTATAAAATTATGATTTTTAATTAAATCAGGTAATTCATTTTAGGTAATTTATACTGGCAATATCTTACAGACGAATATGATGTAGGTGCCTACTGCCTAATGGAAACTATAGTTCTCCAATTTCATATTTTAGAACAAATGTAATTACATAGCATACGGAATATTAAAACAAACTTTTATTAAAGTGTGATAGATCATGATTTATTGAATTTTAAAAATGAAAGGTATTTATTTATATATTAAAAAATTATTTTGAACCAGTTTGTAATTACCTACTATTGAAATTAAAGTATTAAATGTCTTACTTCTTATGAATTAATGATGGGGATTTAATAAAACTCCCATCATAAGTTATACAACAAAGTTATTAAATAATATTTTTTTAAGGTATGATATAAAACTAATGATCTATCTATTCTAAAAACACAGTTGTTAATAAAATATTACCTAAAAATAACCCGTATAATCTGATTTCATAGTTAATAACTATTCAGGTAGAATTATAAAAATTAGAATTATTATTAGATACATACAAAATAAAATAAAATAGTTTACTAGCTCAGATGTATAGTAGATTTTGATTGTACTTTCGACCACGTTATTGAGTAGAGATACAATAATTGTATAGACCAGGGGTGGGCAACTTAATGCTACTAGACGGCTAATTTTGAAAATCTAGCCGGCCAGAGAACATAAAAGACAAAACAAAAATAACCTAATGTTAACTACCTATGCCAGTATAAACAGTGCTCGAATTGGGAAAAATCAAGTAGAGGAGCTCAATCCAACGATTTAAAAACTGAAACTGATAACATTTCATTCAGAACACGATTTAAGATAGTACCTACTAGCACACAGTATAATATGTGCCTTAGATAATATATATACTTATATTATTGACTGTTGTATATGATCTATGATCTGTGAACCACTGACTATATAGACAAAACACAGGGTAATATTATAATTAATTAATAAACTAATATAAAAAATAATTTTGTTATGAAAAATAGTAAAACTTGTTATATAATTGACATCAATTGAAATCCACATTTTAATAAAAATTGTTTCGGAAATTAGTTTGTACCGCCCCCCTCCCAAGTAAAAAAAAAATAGTAGGGGTACGCAAAAAAAAAAATAAAAATAGTAGGGGAGCTCCGTCCCCCTGCTCACCCCCCTAATTCGAGCACTGTCTATAAATAGTATAATATTATTTACATTTAATAGTTTAATACTAGATAAGAATTCATTTCTAAGTCTTACGATAAACGTTATATCGATTTTAATAGTTTAATAAATATAATAAAATAAAATACAGAAAAATCCTAACATTTTAAATTTTTGTAAACTAATTTGAAACATAGCTCGGGCCAGTGAAAAATAGTACCCACCAGAGGTTCATACCTGGTATAGGCAATGAAACGTTGTAGGTATACAAAAACTGAATGTGAGCAGTGACGTTGTACCAGGGTGTGTCCGTTCTCATTCCTAACGATATTTTAAATCAATATGGGTGATTAATTTATCTACTATTAATACAATAGGTTGAATTGGTTTTTGAAAAAACTCATTGCATATATAATATTACCTATATTATTAATTATTATAACATAATAGCGTAATATATTATTATTATTTATTATAAAACAATAATTGGTAATGAAGTACCGTTGAATGGTGTGAATAGGTTAAAATGCACAGGTTCTCAAACTTATTTCATCTATACCACCCACTTTGAGAAACAATAATAGTCTAGAGCCACTAAATTTATTTTTAAAACAGTAGTTATTGTGGGCATTGGCGTGACCAGGAAATTCCAGTGAGGAGTGATGTCATAAGTAACAATATATTTAAATGTATTGTAGGGGCACAAATAAGAGGATTTATGGGTCAATGGGAGGGACTATAAACGTTTTTGAAAATATTTTTTTACATAATTTTAAGTCACTAAAAACAACATTTTCCAAAAAAATATATTATTATCATTTTTCATAGTTATTATTTTAATTTGTTAACTTTTTTGACGGTAACATCCGTTTTTAATTCCTTTATTCTAAAGCAGAATATTTTATGGGGTACTTCGATGCATAACTATCGAATTTTTGACGAGTAATTTATGAGCTATAACGTTATAATTGTTTAAAGTTTTGATGAGCGGAGTGTAATGGTATACAGGGGTACCTACCCCACAAAATGTTGGTATACTACTCCGTCCATCTAAATTTAAAATACTTATAACTTATAAACTACTCGTCCAAAATATTATTTCTACAGATCAAATATTCTGAATATTTAGATGAATTATTTTGTAGTTAAAATGTCATGGGTAGGACGGGTAGGTACATTTTAAAATTTTAATACCTCCGAGCTATGGCTTGAAATGTAATTGTACAATGTCTCATAAGTTTTATTTATAGACTAAAGTATTACTTATTATATTATATTATAGTATTTCAAAAATATAAATTTTTTTTTTTTTTTTACAAGTATTTGAAGTTTAACATTTAATTTTCTTGTTGTTCAATTATTTAAACGTAAAGTAATGTTTTTTGCTACAAAAAATATTAGTTATTTTGGTGTAATATTAAAAAATATAACTCGTAGAAACTAAAAACAATCTAATGTTACATAAATTATCATTTTCTAAACACTATAAAATTTTAAAAAGTATTGACTTATTTTATTTTCTCCATGAACCTATTTACACAATTCAACAGTAATTTGATAATGAGTAGGTACTTATAAGTTAATAGCAATATTATAATAATGAACAATATAATATGCTCCTCTAGCTCGGCCATTGGTTTTGGAGGTGATAAATCTATTACCAATCGTATGTAGATAATATATCTAAATTGTAAATTTTTATCGATGGAATTATTATTATATATTATAGTGCAATCAGATCAACCTACCTTATTGCTAATATAAACAAATAAATTACTAATAAGTACCTATAATTTAATACCTTAAAATATCCTTAAAAATATATTATGCAGACATATTGTCTCCGCTCTGAATAATTGTTGTTAAACAATGAATTGTCATTGAATTCAAATTTAACATTTCGATCACAGTAATCTACTGCCATCTACTCAATAACGAAGTACACTCGAAATCTACTATATTGAAGATACAAATATATACCTACTTGAATCAAATATTTGAAGTATCTACTAATTTATATAATATAGGATTGTATACTTATCTAGAACATATATAAGAATTTGAAGTACCTTTTATGTAAGAATTTGAGGTATTTATAAGAATTTTTGTTAGAAATATAACTTATAAATTAAATTAATATCGTTTATATAGCCTATTTTATACATATCTGATATCTAGGTACTTAAGGGTTGGTATATAGGAACATAAATCAATGTATAGAATAATAGGTTTGTTATTTTCATTAATATTTAATAATAATTTATTTGGGGCTTTATTCTGGGGCTTGGGTCAAAAAGGGCCGATCTCACTTTTAATCACTTTGTAGTAATCAAGAATAAAACCTTTTTTTTTTGAAAATTCATAGCAATTTTTTTTTTTATTGTTCATGTTTTTGTTTTTGTGATGGATGTAAATATAGTTTACCCTACATTTTAGAATATGTTGTGAATTTTTTAGTTAAATATTGAAGGTTTTCTATTTACATTGGTCCTATAAAATCATAATTTTATTTAAACAAAAAGAAGCCAATGTTCACATAGGCCCCATAGATTTTGTAATTTTCATGACATTGACCTTCTCATATCTCGCACTAATGATAATTGAGATACGCCCTTTACTTATAAAGTTTTATAAGATTGGCCATATAACTCATTTTCACCAAAAAGTGAGATTGGCCCTTTTTGACCCAAGCCCCAGTTATATTTTATATAGGTAATTTACTAATATTTAGTATATTTTATATTTATTCCTTAGAATATAATTTGTTAAAAATAATAATAATTTATTATACTAACCTGCGATGATCGTGAAGTATTAATATTTTGTATAGTTAGTACAGAATACGGCGATTCTGATGGAATTTCTTTGTATTGGCCATTTTTCAGATTTTCATGAATTTTGATTTTGATTTTCGATCCAGTTTGCATTCCTCTTTCATCATCTAAGAAAAAAAACAACAATGCAAATATTAATAATAATTATAAACATTTTAAATATGTAATTAATCGCTATACCTATCTAACTATAAAATGAATTAAAGATATAATGTTGACATTTTAATTTTTGAATATTGCTTGTAGTTTTTAAAATATTTAAATTGTACACCAGCATGATAATAACCATTAAAATCCTTATTATTTTATTATTATTATTGTTATTATTGTTATTTTCGTTGAAGCCTTATGTAAAATAATAAATATATTATTAACCACACAATATGTCTGTGTACACACTCGACGAGTATTATAATTGGGGCTCTGAAGTTGTAGGGTTAGTATAGGTGATTTTCTATATTAGACACTCGATTTATAGCAGACACTATAGCTAGACCTACATTTTAAACATTGTCAAGTTAAAAGCCAAAAATCTAAAATGCACATTATTTTTTATTGCTTGTTATGTACATTTTAGAAAATAAGTTCATATTTATTAATTTGATGTATTTGCATTCGTATTTAATAATTTCTAAAAAAAAAAACGTTTTTATTTGATTTCCTTTATGTATTTTATACTCAATTATTTAATTTAGTTATTGACTTTTTCTGAAGGTTTAGGAAGTAGCAAACAGCCAATTTTACAAAAGTTATTTTTGTTCAACCTGTTTTCCACCATATTTGATTAATATCATAGGTAGTTATTTTTATTAACAAATAAAATATAGGTTCGTAATGTAATATTATGTAATCAAAACAATTATAAATTGTAATTTTATTTTTAATTTTGAATATAATTTTTATATAGTTCATTAAATATTTATGTATATAAATTATATATTTAATATTTATTCAAATATTGATTGTTCTGAGTACTTATCATTTGCATAGGTATGTTATTGATCTTTATTCTATGACTCCTGGTCCCTAGTTACAATGCTTTTAACGAAACTTAAATGTCTTTTTTTCCACAAGACTAATTTAATGGGCATTTGTTAAAAGAGACCCAAGTTATATTTTTTGACAAAATAGTTTTGTTGTATATTATTCATCCTCTTATGTAGAAACATATTATATGCTTATAATTTGTAAATCAAATACTGATTCATAAAATGGGTACATAAGTTTTTCTTTTTTTTTTAATTTTAATAAAAAAATATGGTTTTTTTAAGATTGTTTCTCATTTGTTTATATTCAAAGTTTGATATTTACTTGCATTGTTATCTATTTAATTGGATAAAATAAATAAGAAGGTATTAAATTATTTTAAAATGTGACTATTATATTACAATATGATAACTTAAATTAATAAAACTATTAGAATTTGTTTAAAGATACCTATGTCACATTACAAAAATTCGTTATTTATAAAAGTACAAATTTTTTTAAATAATTTTATTTTGCTATTTATTTTTTATACAATACTACCCATTTAATCTGAATTGCGATGATTGATATTATTACGCAAATAGAAATAAAGGAAAACTGTTTTTTGTTTCTCCTGAAAAGTATTTGAAAATGTACATGGGTCCCTTTTCACAAATTGTTATTAAATTATAATAAACAGTTAAATACACAAAAGAAATCATATATAAATAATATAAATTTTGTTTAAATTTTATAAAATTGCTTGTATGTTTGAATTTACAATAATCTATTACTTTTTGAAACAATCCATAAAAGTGTTGTAATCGTTGTATATTTGGTATATTAGACTATTAAACATACTACCTATTGTTGGAATATAAAGTTAGAGTTTAATATTTCTAAAACTGTGAAGTTTTTAATTTACAAGAGTCATGAACTACAACTCTTAATGTTTTATAGAATATGTTTTTCAATAATAATGAATTGTTTGTAGGTCATGACAATGGAAATTGGCAAGAGTTAAAATAATTTTATTAATGATAAAACTATTTGAGACACCAATAAATTCTATGTTCTACTCAATAAACTTAAATATTAATAAATAATAATTATATGAATTTTACAAAAAACCAAATTTCCACGTTATTTTTTCTGTTTTATGCATCTCCAATTCAGATTTTATTGTAAACGATGCAGCTTAGATAGGTTTTACTGGGAGTCTTTGAATATTAATTAAGTGAATGAAAAAAAAAATAGGTTTCAGAAATATATATTGATGTGAACAGATGTAATACCAAATGTCAACAAGAATATTGCAATTATAAAGTACACGGATCACGTTGGTAAGTACTCGATATTAAATCCTTAATACGAATTTCAAAAACAGTTTAAGTTTTTTTTTTAATGACGATCGATTTTTAAAACTCCAAAAGCAAAATAAAATATCTATGCGATTTTAATACGGGTGGTTTATGTGGTGTTATTTCCCAATTTGGCAGTGTCGAAGAGATGTATTTTTTTTTAGGTAGGTATTCCATTTATTATGAAATTCGTAACATATAATATAATATAGGTAATACCAGTAAAACACAGACTAATACAGTAATATACTTTTTGATATATATTATGTACCTAGACATTTAAATTCCTCTTCTACAAAAAGTTAACTAGATTTTAAATATTAATGTACTAAGTACTTAGAATCTGAATAGAACAATAACAATATAATGTTGATATCATAATATTGTGTATTACTTAATGTTTTTTAGAATTATATGCTTCCGTAAAATTACAAAAAAATATATATAAAATATACATTTTTAAAACGGATTCCAGTTCTGAAATTGATTATTGAATGTCTATTATTGTTATATGATATGAAATTTTAAATTTATATGACCTATTTCATTTTAAATTTAAATTTAGCACTAGGAGACCATGTACCGTAAATCATAATTCAAAATTTAATGATTTTAAATTTTAAGTTTTATTGACGATGTTTAATACAAAAAAATACTTTAAACTAATATATAGTTTTTTAACGATAAACTATAATGATATTACTAATATGTTACTATGATATTAAATTTTCAACATATTTTAATATTACATTAATGAATAAATTAATATTTTTGAATAGTCTTAAAATACGTGTCTTCAAGTCGTTTGTGAACAATAATAATGGCTTGTTTTATTGTGGGATTATTTTATAGGTACTGAAATATTTGCTCGAATTAGCATATCGATATTTTATACATTCATGACGTGTACATTTTATTATTAAAAATACTAGAAAATAATTTCCAGAATGATTTTCTTTGTCAAATACCAGTGATTTGATTGTATACACACGAGTAGGTTTACCTATCTTTAGTTTTAGGCAGTTGTTCGGATATCGTAATTTACAAATTTAATGTATTGTTATGGAAAAACTTTATACCAGTACACTCATCAATACGATTTGACGTTTATCTTATTGACCCATTTAACTTCCTGCTATGTTTTTAAAAATTCCCATGAAAATATTATGCTACAGTTATAGTAATCTTGTAACCAAAACCCTAGATATCTCTAATCGATACCGGACCACTGCGGTAGGGCCTTTTATAATCAAATTCCATTATTGAATTCCCATAAAAAATGTGTTATAACTCATCATTGTGGTATATTCTGCACAATATAAAAGGGCAACAAACGAAGGAGTGCATCAGTTGAGTAACAGTCTCTGTTCATCAATAATTATTATCGTCGAAGTTCTACAGAAACAACCGTACAAGTAATTATTATTTTATAACTAATTATTAAAATTAATATTTTTACGCTATTATAAATAATTCTATGTTTTTAAATGGCTAGTTTGATTTGTTTTTTCAAAATATAAAATAACATTACTTAAGAAGTAAAAACATTAATATAGCTGAATTATTTGAACTAATCCAACATTGTACATATAATTTATAACTCGATATATTAAAAAAATACATGTCTGCAGTTTAGCAAGTAAAATTATATAATTAATTACGTAATATTTGTACTTGGACATATTTTTTTGGTATTTATTGAGAAATTAATTATTTAGGTAAGTACTTAGTATCAAAAACTAATAGGAAAATTTAATTATTTTTAACAAAATTAAACAATTAGACAATTTAAAAATTATTTTAATTTATTATTTATTTATAAAATCATTTGCATTAAATGATTTTTAAATACACATTTGAAAAAAAAATAATAACTATCTAGGTACCTATTATTTATCAGATGTATATAATATATAAGCAAAGTATTATTACTTTAACGTACCTATAAGATAAATAATCAAAATCAGGGTTAAAACACAAGCAAAGCATACCTACCTATTACTTAATGTATATGAGTATGAATCATTGTAAAATCAGAGTTTATAAATTATATTTCTTATGATACTTCTATTAATTTACTATAGAAAAAAAAAATAATTATTTTAATCACAACGTTTTTAAATCACATTTACATAATATAATACGGTATATTCGAATCACAAATATAGTTTTGAGCTGTTATCCCACAAGGTTTTTATTAGATGGATTTATGCGTGTGAGCTTATTCAAAAAGTTTTCTTTACTTATGTTGATTGGATATTCAAAAATATATATACTTTCATATTTTCTAAAAATCAATGTTCTAATTTATGTAGAAGAGCAAATACCATGACGGACAAAAACAACATTTTGTATTTGTTTGATCGTCCCACTGAACCCATATTCATCGGGAAAGGCGATGATAATGTATCTTTTGACGTACCAGCAGAATATTTGGTGAGTTGAATTTCATACAGATTCAAAATAAACTTATAAATTAAAAAAAAACTAATCGCGATAGGTACTCACTCAGAGTTCAGATTTAATTGATATAAGCTATCCGGGCGATAACATAATACTATGTTTAGGATATTAATTTGTTAAACAGATTTTTACATATTTTTATTTTATGTTTTTTTTTTAGACTGATCGATACAAGCCACTTGCGTCCGACATTCAAAATCGTTTTTCTGGCGGCAAAACTATCTCAGTTTCTAAATTGTCCTCTATTCCCGACTTGTCATTTCCACTGCAACTTGGAAGAGATAAGGCATTTTCTCTTTTCATTCCGTACCACTCAAAAATGGCTGCGAAATTGATTGAAATTTTTATGGGTTAGTAAAATATAATATTTATTGTTGCCCAGTACTCCCAGTATTCTGTGCACTCTATGCAGCTAATCGGTTTTTAAACATGCGGGCAACGACTACATAGTTAACAATGTACCTATATTTATATGCTATTTGTATATTTTACGTTTCACAGCTTCCAAAACGTTCGATGATTTACTGTCGTTAGCCGTGTACGCCCGCGATCGAGTCAACCCGTACATGTTTATTTATGCATTATCTGTAGTCGTGACACACAGGCCCGACACTCGTAATTTGGAACTGCCGTCGCACGTAGAAATGTTTCCAAGTCTGTACATGGACGCGACGGTTTTCGGCCGAGCCCGAGAAGAATCGGCAGTGGTTCAAACGGGTTCAAGAGTGAGTGTTGATCTGCGCAGCTGTGCTGCATTTTCACAGTCGACAGAACTGTTCAATAACAACAATACAAAATAATATATACCTACCTATTTTATTACCCGCCTACCTGTAATAATAAACATTATTATCGTTGTATTAGACCCCGATCGAAATACCACACGATTATTCCGCCAACGATCTGGACTTTGAGCACAGAATCAGCTATTTCCGCGAGGACATCGGTATCAACCTCCACCATTGGCATTGGCATTTGGTCTACCCTTTCGACGGGCCGGTGGAAATCGTAAACAAAGACAGGCGCGGTGAACTGTTTTTTTACATGCACGAACAGATTTTAGCCAGGTGAATTGTGCATTTTGCAATTATCGTACAAAATATTAATTTTATCTGTGAGATGTGTGTTGAACAGCATTAACGATACAAATTGAATAATAGCTTATATTTGTTTACACGACATTAACTCATAGGTACAATATGGAACGACTGAGCAACGATATGAACAGAGTTGTCCGCCTGACGAATTGGCGTAGCCCGATCGTGGAGGGTTATTTCCCGAAATTAGACAACATTTTAGCCAATCGAGTATGGCCACCGAGACCGGTTAACGCCACACTTTCGGTAATAAACAAATAATAATATTATAATATTTCGTCTATTGTATTTTCATATTATGTAATAATTGTTTACATTTGTCTCGTATTGCACAGAATATCAACAGAGAAGTAGAACAAATATCGTTCGATATCGAAGATTTGGAACGCTGGAGAGACCGTATCTTCAACGCTATACATTCTGGATTTATTATTAATGTAAGTATGACACTATGTGAATTTTTTAATCAAAACCGTTATAATTTACAATACGGTATTTGATTATTAAGATTAAATCAACATATTATTATGACGTGTTTTGTCGTCAAACTGTTTAGTCATTAACCACGAGAGTAATTATAAATTGTACATTGTTGTTTTATTTGATAGACGGCTGGTCAACAAGTCCGTTTAACCGAAGCCGACGGAATTAACATTTTGGGAAATCTCATCGAAGCTAGCATATTAAGTTTAAATCAAAATTTGTACGGTTCTCTTCACAATAATGGCCACAACGCAATTTCCTTTATCCATGATCCTGATAACAGATTTTTGGTAAAAATTGTGTTTTTTACACTGTTAATTTATCATATCACACATCATAATATCAATAATCGTCTTCATATGTTTTTAGGAAAACTACGGAGTTATGGGTGACTCGGCCACTGCCATGCGTGATCCAATATTTTACCGTTGGCATGCATATATTGACGATATATTCCAAGAGTTTAAAGCAACAATCCCTAGCTACACCGTTCAAAATGTACAAATTCGGTATTTTTTTTTTAAACGACTGCTCGTTAAAATAAATAATTACATTTTTAGTTGAGCTTCGATAACGTAAGAGTGCAAAGTGTAGAAATATCGGCCACTGGGATACCACGTAATGAGTTGGCGACGTTCTGGCAACAAAGTGATGTTGACTTGTCTAGGGGCTTGGACTTTTTGCCACGTGGATCTGTATTTGCTCGGTTTACTCATTTGCAACATGCACCATTCAATTACAAAATTACCGTAAGCAGAAGTCGTGTATTTGAACAGACAACATACCTAAATGTTTAACATGAAAATGATAGTGACGAAATTAAATTTTAAATTAAGTAGCGCTGTACAGAAGGTAAAATTAATTATTTTACTTACTCATGTCAACAATTTAGGTAAACAATTAGAATTTAAACCAACTAAGGTTTCATTATAAAACTATTTAATTTATATTATATTCAATTTTTATAAGGTTGAAAATAATGGAAACCAACGAGTTGGAACAGTTCGCATCTTTATTGCTCCTAGGTATGATGAACGAGGTTTGCCCTTCTTATTCAGGGAACAGAGGAAACTTATGGTAGAACTTGACAAATTCAGCGTAACACGTAAGTATTATTTATTAAGACTTACTGTTAAAAGATTGTAAAAATATCCATTATTTTGTTGCGCTTTGTGTTAGTTTTTGAAAACCACTTATTATTTGATAAATTAACTTGTTTGATTGTCAAACACTTAATTTTTAATATTATTATATTATTAATGCTGAATTAAATTATAGAACAAATTTAACCATGATGGCAGGTATTTAATAAATTAAATATTTGAGCAATTATTACCGTTGAGTGGTTCATATAGGCAAAGTAACAGTTTCGACGTATGGTATACCGAAGTGGAATTATTTATTATTTTTTTTTTCAAATAGTACCTAGAGTTATAATTTTTCAGTTTTAGTTTCCGGTTATTAATAATGTATAAACCATTTTATTTGTACAGTGACCAGAGGAAGAAATGAAATAACTCGACGATCTATTGAGTCATCAGTTACTATACCGCACGAGGTAACTTATCGAAACTTAGATAGAAACAGACCAGCTACTAATACAGAAGCAGCTGCCGCTTTTAACTTCTGTGGTTGTGGGTGGCCACAAAACATGTTGATACCCAAAGGGTCGGCTGAAGGATTCCAGTGTCAACTGTTCGTCATGATATCTAACGGCGCCAACGATCAGGTAATTAACAGACACACGTTTAAATCAGATAAGGATGTTGTGCTGTAAAAAATATTGAGTCTAACCATCGACGAAATACACGCATACTATCACATCGACGGTCCACAAAAATGAAATACCTAATTTACAAGAGCTAAATATTTTTTTCTTATAACTACCTATCTACTTAAATAGTTAAATCAGTAATCAAAAAAAAAAAAACAAACAAAATTGTTGACAAACACGGTTTATTATTTATAGTAATTTTTCGTGATATAAAATTGAGAACAATTTGATTTTATAATTATTATTGATTAAGTAATAATAATTTACCTACTACCTATACCTACTTAATTAAATACATTTTTTTTTTAAAACTGTATTGGACGAGTTAAAAAAATATATTTTGGGGATAAAGATGGGCCCCCAAAATCAATGGGCCCCGGGACCGTGCCACCCTTGCCCCCTCTTAATCCGGGCTTGGGCATGGCATAATCACAATTGTCTGTTATATCATTATTTTCTGCTCGTTTGAACATGATCCCCACGGTAATCTTACTGGGACGTGTTTGCTTGGACGGCAACGATCAATATTTTAATCATTGCGATTTGTATCAACCCATAACAGGTGGAGAACGCACAAGCGGACGGACAGACTTGTGACAATGCTTCGAGCTATTGCGGTATTCGTAACTCGCGTTATCCGGACGCCAGGTCTATGGGCTATCCTTTCGATCGGACACCTAGAGACGGAGTGGTCACTCTCCAACAGTTTTTGACACCGAACATGTTTGTGCAGGACGTGCGTATACGTTTCTCGAATCGCACAGTGGCACCATTGCAAAACAGAGTAGGAAGCCAACAGACTTCAAAAAATCCGCCAGCAAAAGCTCCAGGTCGGAACTGAGGAACAACTCTCGGAGAACGCGTACCTAATATTTTGTAAGTGTAACTTTTTGTTTGCATATTATAATGTATAAATGAAAACACTCTACAATACCGAACACAGTAGAATTTTTCAAAACAATTCCCCACACATTTTCTCAGCTTTTTTTTATAGTAAGACTAAACGTAAGTGTTTTTATTTTGATATTATCTAATATTTACAGGTTTTGGATTACATTGGAAAAATACGATTCGGATTCATTCAACGTTTGAAGTTAATATTATCATCTATACATTTATCATATTTTAACATTATATTATAATCTACGAAAAACTATCAAACGAAATATCTTATTCTTTATGTTATATCAAATATTGGTACATATTATAAAAAACGTGGTTTTTAAATGGCTCATTAAAAAATAAATACTAATTTATACAAAATACTGTGTATACTTTTATTTATACAAATTTATTTGTCTACCATAATATTATGTTCCTATTCTTTCTATTAATTAGAAATACGATAAACAATGTAGCTTTTTTAGTTACCTTATTATCTGTACGATACATGGTTAAGTTAGAGTACAACAAAAGAATTAAAAATATTTTATAAATTGATTATTTATATTGTGTTTTATAAAAAATAATTTGTTTATTTTTTGGGAGATGAAACATAGTTGTAAATCGGGTACAATTACTGGGACAGAGGGATGGGATCGCTAATAACTTTAAATATAAAAAAAAAAACACTGTTAACATTTTGAAACAAATAATACTATAAAATGCATTACTTCTTTTTTTGTTGTGTTATAAATGGATAGATTCCACAGCATGTAAAATTATTTTGTAGAAATATATAAATGCATACAATTTTTAATTTAAATACCATGCTGGGAATTTAATACAACTGTCCTCATAAGTTGTTGTATTTTAGTAAAAAAAAAAAAACCAAGGCGGAAAGCCACATTAAATAATATTTGAATGAAAAATATAACAATTTTAATCAAATTATAATTATTAGTTAATTTGTTGTTATTTAAAATAAAATATTAATTATATAGACTCAAAATTTCCCACCAATACTTATGTTATAATTTACTTTACATAAAGAAATGTTCAAAATATTTATACAATTTCAAGCTATTTATAGGTATTACTTGATTGAATTCTTTTACTATTTTTCGACTTTTCATGACTTAAACATGAACAGTGTTCGTGATAAGTTCTGCTTACAGCAATTTAAATTATCGAAAAGACATGTCCACAGTTTTATTTGAGAAGCGTTTGAAACTCGAATCGTCTGTCCAATTCACTCAGAATCTGAGAATTAATTTTTTGTATCTAATAATTTATCATTGAAGTCAAACCTCTTATGCAGCAGAAGCGAGAACTCCGATTTTGAAAAATGTATTCTTCAAATAATAGCAGGTGGTTCAGTGGTTCAGCCGTTAGTTAGGTTACACTAGCAGTTCATGTAAAATGAGTAGTTTTTTTTTTGCTCAAAATATTTAACATTTTTACTAAGAAAATATTCTAAATAGAACTTTATTATGAACATTTTGGGCAATTTTCATAATCGAAAATATTACAAACTATTTTTTTATTATGCGTATTTTAGTTGGGCTTACAAGAATTTTTTTTTTGAGTGGTCTAAGGCCAACCAATGATTGGCCTAAACCTTCCTCACAGATTAATTCTCGTTACAATAATTCCTTCTAGATACTTGATACCTATAATCTATATGTACAGTACTATTTTAGTAAAACTAAATTACTTCTAAAGGATTGAGGGTAGTTATTGTTAGGTACTTTTTACATAACCATTTAAATACTGTACACCACTCAAGTTTACATACACTTAAGGTTGATCATTGATATAGAATATAAAATATAATTATTTTTTCTGACTTGGTTATGTCTGTATTTTAGTTTATAACAAACGATTATTTATTATTATTATTTTGACGATTTATTGTTTAAGCTGCATAACTTATGAAAAGTACAACATTAGACTTTCTTATATTCAAAAAGAAAAATGAAGTTATTTTATTATATAAGAGTTTTATTTATGTACATCAGTAGTTTATAAGTGAGTATTTGAAATAGTTTCGTACTAATATTCCGGTTTTAAAACTTTGTTTTGTAAAGTTTCTGTGACCATCAGACCATGTGTTATAATTATCATACTCGAAATGTATTGTTTACTTAAAAGTTAAAGATAAAATAATTTCGTTGATAAAAAATTATTTAAATACAAATTGAAAAAAAACTGAAATTTATAACAGTTATTGGTATTTGCAACAGACTCGTGCATTTTATATTATGTAAAAAAGAATCTATATTAGGAAACTAACATTATTTTACTGTAGGAAATAAACAACAATTCAAATTGTTAGCCGGAAGATATACATGAATATTAGAAATATAAATTATAAATCACATAGTAGCTTTTGTTATAAAGTACATGTCATTTTAGAGTCTTTTTAAATTATTAATAAAAAGGGACCCCCAGTGCTGAAATTACTGAGATTGTCTATGCTCATAGTTAATTGTTTTTACTCTAATTAATTATGACTTATGAGAGATTAAATTTGGGAAATGAGTTCAATCATGGCCACCGACTGAATAAGTGACTATTACACAGAAAATGTCACTCTAACCATAGCCGCCCAGGCAGGGGACACTATCGGCAACCCAATTATCAGATGTGTTTTGTCACTGTAGCACCTTCTTATACCAGTCAAGTTCACAATTTATCATTTTACGAAATATAAAAATATATTATTTGGCGTTCTTTTTGAAATCGCGGTTATTTAATAAATACATTAAATAACGTATATAAAATATAATAAATTTAACCTTACAAGTATTTCAATATCTACTTCAACGTCACAACTCGCGCTCCCCACTAGGTAACGTTATTTCAACATAAGACGGTCGATTGCTGACCGAACAAACATTTTTAAAATTTATATAAGAGTGATTGTTAACTCGGCCGGAGGTAAAAAACTGTTCAAAGGATCTATTGTAAACTTGGCAACGTTTATTTTCAGGTAAAAATTATTGATATGTATACTCAGTCTGGATAAAAAAAAAATATGTCCAGACCTTCTCATATTTAATAAATAATTACCTTATAATATTTTTGAGAAGAATTTAGCATCACCCAGATAAAGAGTAGGCTATTCTCATTGTCTTCCATAAATGGTTTTGTTTAATTTTAATTTTTACACTGTTAAAAATGATGGAAATTCGTAATAACACAATAAATTATATAAATGTAAATGTGTAAAATAATTTTTTTTTAGTAGAAAGCCGTGGATTTGACATATTAATTTACTGATATTTCTTTGTTCTTATAATTTTGAAACGTGATTTTTAACAATTCTTATTTTTAATTTTTGGATTTAGGAAATTTAAATGGAGTGTTGCTTATTATGTTTATTCAATTTTATCGGGAAAAATTATCTGGCTGAGTTTACAGCAGAAAAGGTATTCACAGTTTACATTTGTCTTTATTCAAACATTGAAAACATTATAATGCAGGTGATTTGAAGATAAAACCATAACATAATTAGATTTATTATTAGGTCTATTTAGAAAACTATTTCAATTCATTTTAATAGAGTCATTGATATTATTGGTACTTACCTAATATAATTGTTTATACCTACTGATCAAATAATTTCAACAGAAAATCAGTAACGATTTTATGGGTTTATTATAAAAAAAAACGTACTTCCTGTGTATTTCAAATAAAATAAATTGTTTTTTAATTAAATTTGTTTGTACTACTATTAACAAGAGGATGTAATGAGTCATGAAACTTTTACCACAAAACCGTTTTATGCGTGAACGAAACAAAAAGGGTATAATAATAAAATTGGCATATTATTAAAATCTACGCCGTATAAAAGATATCAGAAATGTATCAATAAAATATTGAAATTGCATATTATAATTTATAAAGAAGATAAAAGAAATCTAGCTTTAAAAATTCAATGTTTCTTTTGCACTAAGTTTATATCAAACATTAAAACGATAAAAAATACGATATAATTAAATTGTATATGCAGTTGTTATATTATATTTAGCTAGTAATTATTTGAATGCTTTCAGGATTATTTCCCTTCCATGCCATTGTTACGTTTAAAATAACGGGCGTGTAATTGCAACCTATTAAGAGGGCACAACTGTAACGAAATTATACTGAAAAACATGTTAACGAACTTTGCATAGTATGGTTGCATATAAAAGTCCCTGGAAATTTCTAATAAATCTAACTTTTGTTTACCAATATAAAGTTTAGAACTAACTAAATGCAATAACATAAGCTTTTGTTATAATAGTTTTTTTTTCATAGTTATACATTTCATTATTCCACATTTGAAATCCATGTAATTTAAAATGTTGTTTTAAAATGTACACAACAAATAAAAATTATATTTTTAAGAAAATGACATACATGCTTACATGTAGCATAAACAGGGGCGTGCACAAGGACTGATGTGGTTTCCCCATGGCTTTTTTTCTTTTTTTTTTTTAATAAGTCTTGTAAGGGACGTCAAAGAAATACTGGAAACTATCAATCAAATTCAAACCGTAGCGTTCTAAATAATGGCATGAAAAAAATTAGACCTCCGGGTCACTGGGGAATCTTGTTTACGCCCATTCCCTTCCTCCGATTATAAAAAGAAAAACTCCCATAAGAAAGTCGAATAAATTCTGGAAGCTACCAAACAAGTTCAAGCAAATATCAAAAAAAATATAAAAGTGGAGTGATCAGTGAAATACACGCGAAATAATGTTACGTAAAAAAATAGCTTAAAAATATAATGTTGTTGTTCATATTCACAAAAACAATTTAGTTATTTCACTATGGGTACCTAATACATATTTGAATATATTTTACATAGGTATTAGATAACCATAACGGAGATGTATTATGAATTTAATATTATACAACTATACCTAGGTACTATTACCTACTATATATTTACACGAGATAATATAGACAATATTATATTACTAACTAATCTTATCTCGTCATCACTTGTTTAGTCGATGATAGTAAGTCGAGATAGTTTCGTAAATTATAGCTTTAATAACAGACTTCCACCGTGATCTGACAATATTATGATAGTTAATTTTATAATGTCCCTTAGCTTAGGGCAGTTTTTTTTTATACATTGTATAGTTTGGGGCACCCTCTAGCCATTTTAATCACATATTAATGTCCATAATACATATATATTTGGATTTTTTTATTCCAATAAAGTCCCATCTCTAGTTATTACCCTAAAAATTAATAATATCTGCATATTTTTAAATCAATCATACAATTTTAAGCCATGCTCCGGGGCACTTTAAGTTAAGTAGTTTTTAATTTTTAAAAAAAAATTAAACGTTCTGCTATAACTTTTTTTTTCACTAAAAAACATTAAGCAACACATATTGGGTAGTACATTTTATGAGGATTTAAAAAATGCCTTTTTTGATATTATTACATAATTACGTATTACAGAACAGTTTTATATAAATAGTAAGTTAAATCTCAAAAAATAAGGTTATAATATGGTATTTTTTCATTTTATTACTTACATCATTATCAAATGATTCAAAAAACAATACAATTGCAAATAACGTAGGTACAAAATTATTTAAAATTAAATTTTATATAGATAGGTAACAATGATTAAAAATAATACCTAAAAAATAAATTATCCATAATTTTAGATCAGTTCATCATTATTAACCCTTGCTACTGGGTTTGAAAAAAAACTTTCTGAATAGATCCATCGCACCATAAAACGTGCAAATAATAGTAAATAATGGATTTGGTGGCTTGAATCTCACCTACAATTATTTTTCCATACACTAATGACTTTTTTTTCAAGGCATTATTAACACACTGAAACGACTATTTTTTGTTTATGTAAATCAGGATTTTTCCATTGATTTCTCTCTCGTTTATACAAAACTACAAAACTTATATACATCATAGCTTACAGTTTAGAATTTGTCAAGTTTATTTTGCTTAGCGAATTTCTTCAGTCATTGATGCCAACATCCAAAATAGGCTAACATAGGAATTTTATTATGAATGCATATTGTTGTAAATGTTACAAGTTATGCATGTAACAAGTCACAACAACGTAACATGCAAAAATGTTTCTTCTAACATAATGAGACTAGGTATACAAATTGAAAAGTCAGCACAGATGAATTTTATTAAGAAATATGGTTTTTTTTTTTTTAATCCTTAGAGTTCTTTCAAAAATAAAACTGTGAAGTTAATATCAAAAAAGAAATTTTTATTTTGTACTGTAGCATAAAAATTAAGTTTAAAATCTTAGCATACATTTATATGTACTGTTTATATAGGTACTATAGTCTATAAGTCATAAGCATAAACAATTATGAAAATAAAAATTCCAAAAATATTACTGAACATTTTTTTTAGAGAAGGCATGATGCTTTTTTCCAATAAAGGTCGCTTTCTTTTAATAAATTATATGATTGTCATCTGAGATTCGTTTTATTGGAATTCTTAGTCTTAGGTTTAGAACGACTCACATAATATTTAACGACATAATATTATCATTAAAAAATGCTTTTGGGGAGGTATCGTCATTCGTCACTACTTCAATGTATATTGTAATCTTAAATTATTAATTATTATTTATAAGAACAATTTAAAATTGTTCAATAGTTCTTTATAAACTTTATAATTTATAAATACCAACACTATAGAATACAATGAATATTATTCATACACGTATAATACTACTATTGTGTCGACTGCTCTAAAGTGAGCTAAGTATGACGACTGACGAGATATGAACTATGAACATACTATTAATATAATAATATATGGCTTGTGAATCTCGTTCGGATTTTTGAATTAAATTTTAGATTCCGAGTGGAGCAATGAATGTATTAATTGTACAATGATGTGTTTTTTTTTCGGTCCGTCATTGTCCTTTGGAGCAGTAAAATGCTTCAATTTCGTACTTTAGTATCTTTTCTGGTAGATAAGTGCATTTAGTTGGTACTTTGGGGGGTCAAAAGTAAAAAATTTCAAGAAGTTTACACTTAAAATATTTATTTTTTTTTATTTTTTCTGTAATCGTCGATAAAAATGTTCACCTGGTCAAAAATATTAAAAACTTAATGCAAACGGTTTCTCATAAATTTATATAATAGCAAATCAAAAACATTAAAGATACATAAGCATGATTTTTTTTTTTGAGCATTTGAAGCTTAAATTTTGACTAAATTCGTCAAAATCATGAATATTTACAAACTATTTTGTAGTTAAAAATGTATGAAAGGTTCAATTTTTATAGCTATATTGATTGAAAATTTTAAAACAAAATTTATCATAAAAATTCAAAAATATACTTATAATCATAGTTTTTTAAGACATATTTTAAGTTAAAATTTGGACGAAATTAGATGTATAAACGACGAAAAGCAATTTAAGTTATTTTGTTGTAATTTAAACGTATAAACTTTTACGTATATTATACATTTTAATATATGCAACGAAATTTCAAAATATTCAGATTAATTTTAAGCTATTATCTATTATTTTACTATGGAGGTTTTCACACCGTTCTACAGTAATATGTGGTATAGACTCAAAAGTTAATAACAATAATATAATACTCTGATAGATATTATATTATACACTATTATAATAATGAAATCTGAATAATAAATGCATAAAATTAAATCAACCCACCTCAATATGATAATAGTAAATAGTAAAATAAGTTAATTTAATAGCAATATCAAAAACACATCATGAAATATAGGTAGGTTCTTGATATAGATTATAGGCTGACGGTTGTCTTCACTCACCATTGTTTTTCATATACAACGATTTTATCATAATATATAATTATTATTTTATATTATCATTTGAATTCAAATTTAATACATCCATTTCAGTGGCTCCATTGAATACCTACAACCGTACAGCAGAGCAATAGTACCCACTCGACCACATTTTTACTCACCTTTTTATAACATAATGTTAGGTAGGTAGTTTTTATGGTATAATATATATTCTAGTGAGATTGTTTCAGCCGTGTTCGTGTGGGTACGTATAGTATCATTCAACCAAGAAACTATACACTTGACAATGTTAAATTAGTATCCAGCCACGTGTTCAAAATTTAAAACTGTCGGCGTATAAAAAAAAAAAAATCAATCCAGGTCAACATAATCTATCGTGGAGGGTTCCGGAGATAGTTTTATTTTTAAATTGAATATTTCACGACTACGGCTGGGGACCTGTTTTTCCTTTCCATTATAATTTTCACTAACTTGTGACAACTGGACGTTCGTCGACACCCTTGGACCCTGTAAATCGAATTTCTTCGCCGTTTTGAATCCTGACAGTTTGCCGTTCCCGGAATACTGATCGTCCGCGGACGTTGGCCGCCAACCGTTTGGCGTACACCACCGCCATTGCACATACTCCCACAAAGCAGCATCCAAGCAGTAGCATACCTATGTGTGCAGCTTCCGAGAACCGTGTAGCAGTGCTGGTCGAGTCTCCTAGGGTCGAGTAGAAAAAAAAACAATACAAGTATGACTATTATTATAATATTCGGTTAATTGTGAAATAATAATAGCAATGACATAATACATGCCTATCGATAGCATAGGCGTGCGCAGACCTTGCTGGCAGGGGGGGCAGAATGTAATAATGTACCTATAGGTATATTATATAATATATAGGTAAGTAAATATTATTTTGGTTATTAGTTCAATTAATGTAAGTGATGGAAGTATTTTCATTTTATGTATCATTAAAACTACCAATAACTACAAATTTAATATAGTAATTGAAACTCCAAAGTTTTTTATATTATATTAATATACATGAACAAAGAAAATTATTACATTCATACAGTGGTGGATCCAGGGGGATGGAAAAGGGGGCATTTGCCCCCCCCCCAATAACCGTAGTTTTCCTTTGTTTTACACTGTGTTTAGCCAATTTTGGAACTTTCATATACTTTTGAGCCCCCCATGCCCCTCCCAAAATTAAGCCCTGGATCCGCCACTGCATTCATATATATTTTTATGCCCGATGTGTTGGTGAAATCTGAATTTACTAATTCTACTTACTATTTATTTACAATTACAAAAAAAGTAAGTAAGATAGGTAAATTATTATTTGCACCAACACGTTGAACATATAAATATCAACATTTAAAAAAAAATGTAAATCCTTAGTATGATTTTTCCAAAAATAGTACCACTATTATATCATGCATTAATGTATCAATAATATTCTATTCTTTGGTAATATTGAAATTTATACATTATTGTAGGCATGTAACCTATTATTTAAACTGTTTTATAAATTATACTTTATAGGTATATAATAAACAATTTGATTTGTAGGTTACAGTATAAATAGAAAATTAATTTCAATATAAAACACCACATTAAAAAAAAAGATAGGTATATTCTGATTTAATCAACACGTTGAGCATAAAAATACTAAAATACTAAAAATTCCGAAAATTGCTTCGGAAGTAAAGAGCTATAATATTTGTTCGTATACTGCATACTAATTATTATAATTATTAATTACTAATTATTTAAAGAACCGACCTTCTTAGCGCTTCCGGTGAACGTTTTTCGCATTAAATGCCGTCAAATTACTACTCACTTTCATGTCTCATCACATCTCAATCTACATCATGCTATAATAAGATTATAAGCACTCGTTATCACCGCGGTATCGCTTGTGGTTCGCTTAAAGTTGGACAACATAAAATCATCGTGCACTGTACATCGAGCACTCAATGTTTACATAATATTCATTATATAAAACTGTATTATAATATTTTTTTAAAAACTTTGTTATTTTGTAAGAAAACTTGAGCCCGCAGGAGGGGCAGCTGCCCACCCTGCCCCTCCCGTGCGCACGCCTATGATCGATAGAGAAACATAACACTGGTTTTCATGTTTTTCATAATATTATACAAAATAGATACATACCCGACATACGTCTCATACTCTGCACCTGCCTGTTATACTATTATCCCCAAACTTAGTGCTAACTCGATAGTGTTTCAAGTGGATGTATTCTAACGATATGATTTAATTTATTTAAATTTATGATTTAATCATTATTAGAATACATCCACTTGAAACACTATCGATGTCAATAATTTATTTCAACTTAAATACTTTTTAAAATGTTGGTTATAATTATTAAGAAAATAACGTCATAAATTAGTTCATTTTTATCGATTACTAGCCGATCCCGCACACTTCGTTGCCCGTAAAAAATGACAACACTTAAAAAAAAATTATGATTGTTCAACTATTTTTGGGTTTAACTCTGCAGAAAGTGCAACCCAGCCATCTTGGATAAGGCAACTCGCGAAAATTCTATTTTATGCAAGCTTATACCTGATCTGCCCGATTAACCAATGGCAACCAATAAAATAATAAATACTAATTTCTTCTAATTATATAACCAATAGCAACCATTTATAAACAAAAATTTCCATCTTAAATCAAAAAATCCCTGTTTGAGCACCTCCCCGGGTTGCATATACTGGGTCCAATTGTGAATCTAAGTCATCTCGGGAACCATTCAAACACGTACAAAAAATATCATCAAAATCGGTCCAGCCATTTAGGAATGCACAGGGGACAGACAAACGAACGGACGGACAGACAGACATTCATTTTTGTATAATATATTATAGATGATATCATGTTTTTGAATGTATATTGTCTTTAATTTTAGTAAATACTAATCGACTATATAATGTCGAATCGTATTATAATAAGCTAGACATTTTGCAATTGATAGATATGTCAAATTGTTGTTGATGAAGCTGCAACCGCAATCCATTGAGTGTGATTAAATCTATTATCGAAGAAAACAAATACTACAGTGGAAAAAGAGAAGACAAACAAACTACCGTACTGGTAAAATGTCATGGAAATGTAAAAATTGAAAGCAACGATAATTTACGTGACTAGAATTATATGTCGGTATGAAACAATTTGCAATAGGCGTTCGATTGCAGATAATAAACGTATTAACTGACGACGAAGACATTTGTTCTGTTCAACGTTGTGTGCTGTTGTACGCCTGTATACTTGGACATTGTTTATTGTCTAAGGGACAGGCGGCTTTTTATGAAATGTTATTTTTTAAGAAATGAGATAACGTCTTATTATATTTATTTAATTTTTTTTTAACATTATACTTATACTTTAAGTTATATTTACGTATTAGTTATACGTCTACGTTATCTATTTTGTATGTCTAGTGAGTATCTATTTGACTATATATAGGGTGTCCTGTGAGGATATACCTATTAGCCGTAGAGGGGGACTCGCCGCCCGGACAAAAACCGTTTTTTTGCCGTTTTACTTATTAACTAAAAATTTTATTAAAAACCATGAGATTAATGAAAACAAAATGTTGAAAAGTCAAAATGTTCACAAAAATAAACTTCATAAAATGGCGATCTTCAATTGTTTCAAAAATAAAAAACATTTTTTTTTAACTTTTTTACCAAAAAATTAAATTAAATTAAAAAGTATAATATTCATGCGTAGTCCTTGTTTCTGTGAGTCTAATAAAAAAAAAACAGATTTAAGATATATTTATTATCTCAGGAGATATCGCAATGGGTAAATCCTCGCGGGACAGCCTGTATACTGTAAAGTGTAGGTAGGTATGCTAGACATTTTAAAAAAAATCTCAAAATAGGTGTTTTTTATTTTAATATATAATAATAATAATAAATTATAATTCGAACAATACATCGAATTATATTAATACTGTCCATCCGTGATATACTGATATGGATATACATCGAACTCCTACAAATGAATATTGCTCGTCAATGAAATTTATGAGTTTTTCACCGTTTAGTTTATAATCGTACAGAACCTTATTAGCACTGTATTAGCACAGTCTTAAATTATAATACTATTGTTGCTTCCATTAATAAAATATAGGGATATGACGTTTATGATTCATTTTTGGTGTTACTCCAGTTGTCTCAAGAGTAAAATATAATATCACTAAGATGTGCCTACACATTTTTTTTTGTTGAAATTTAAGACTTGTTAGCTTAAATTTTTATCAATTTTGATCAATTTGAAAATATAAATCCACTGACCAGCTACTCGCGGGTCCTTGGGATTAGGAGCTGTTTCGACGTAAACGCGTACTTGGCCGACACTTGAGCCTTTGGCGTTGCTTGCGTACACTGTGGCCACGTATCGGGTGGACGGTCGCAACCCGGTAATTTTGACAACCATATGACCGGTTTGGCCAACGTAACTGGCTTCGACCACATCCGGTCGGTCGATTGTGGCCAATGTGCACGCAAAATGCTGCGGAAGTCCACCACCGTATCCGGGCTCGCACCGAATTGCAAACCGAGTACTCGTCACGTTCACTGGCAAACAGTTTCTAGGTGGATCTGGTCTACCTGTGAACACGGCATACAACCGCATTTATTAATCACTTATGATTCACCTAAATTGTATATTCAAGCAGATCATTTATTGGTTACAAATAACAGGATAATTTAAGATTATGCCTATAAGACGTAGAGTGTATAATATAATATATTAAAAAAAAATCACAACAACAGTATTTAAGCGGAAATTGTTCTCTCAGCATTTAATCTGTATCATGACAGATTGTATTCATGAAAAACGTATATGTAATATTATGTTTGTGTACCATATGGAATTTTTTAAATAACAAAACAATTTGTGATATTTTTAAAGAATATTATTAAACTATAAAACCATTAGCAGTTGTCATTTTAAATGTGAGAAAATAATAAATTATCAAAACAAGTTTATCAATGTATAAATTAAAAATCCAACTGCCTATCTGCCTATATTATACCTTCCATAATTGTTATATTATTATATGGATAAATTAATATAACTTAGAACATCCGTATTTAATAATCTATTCACAAATACTAAACCAATTATTTACTGTATGAATATTCATATCTAGAAACTATAACAATATTATAAGTGTATCAATTCTACAATCCCCAGTCACAAGAACAAGTAAGTCCATGAAGTTATAACTAATACAAACTGGTTGATTGAATCATCAGTTTATTAGAGATCTATTAAAATATAAATCCCACCATGCATGTAATATTAATATACCAACAGTTTAATAATTGTAGGTTATAACTCACAGCCTACAACTACATTTTAGAATCAATATGTTATACATTTGAAGGAAATAAATTGTTTTTAATATATTATTATGTAGGTAAAAGTAATTGTTTAAATCTATTGTTTTCGAGGAAAATGTTAGAATAGGTAAGGTAGGTATTTGTTTTATACCTAAAGTGTCATTTAGAAAACATTCCAATTTGTTCGGCATGCTACACGCGAAAATTCAATTACGTGAACACTGCAATAGGTGTTAAAAGAATGAAAAACAAATAGGTACATTCCAAATATTTAACATTCCTATAAACCTTCTGATTTTTGTTATCTTTAGAAATAAATTCTTTTGAAAGTTTTATAAAGTTCAATTTAAAAAAATAAAAGAATATTGAGAATACAGTATTTTTAGAGAATAAGTAGGTGGATAAAATACAAGGAAATATCCTAGTGAATAAATGAAAAAATATATTTCACTATCGATTGAAATAATAAATTGAAGTAGTTTGTATAAAAATTTGAAACATTAGGTATCATATTTTTTAAGATTATATAATAAAATATGTACTTTATGATCAAATTACATTAATAATGACTTGAATGCTGAGTATTATTTACACGTTATTATTGACAGTTTTCTATTCAGTTATATTATTACCAATAAATAAAACTGAAACGACGAGTGTTTGCAAGAAATCAATCTTAGGTTTAGAAAATGTTATGAAGAAAAAACGTATAATATTAAACATGCAACTTAGCATATTAAAATACTAATTTGTAAATAATGGATTATGTCAAAAACCAAAAAATTAAAACAATAATCTACTTAATATTGTTGTTACTTGTTATCTAGGTACGTAGACAAATGTATTAAGCGCCTAAAAATAAATAAAACTAAAATGACCTTCACAAGCCGTGGCTGTAGTACCCCTGTGACCCTGTCCTCTACTCGTAAGTTATAACTTTGAATATGAGCTAATATTTATATAAAGAGTAAATAAGGGAATGGCTGCAGTGAATTGGATAAAAGTATTGACCCTACAGGGAAATCTGTGGAACTCAAATAGTTGTTCACATATTATATTATAGTTCTTAGTCCAAAATTAATTTTTTTTTACTTCAAGTAGCTTAAGTGATTTAAGTATTGAGTTTTCGTTTTCTCGTCTAGGGCCACATTTAATCATATTAATTTTATGAAAATATTTCACTTTCAGTAAGATTTTTGAATTTGTCTAATATTATGAAATTAAAAAGTGATGATCAATCATATTATACCAATGATTATTATTTTATTATTTGAGGTTTTAAACAATAATTCATACCTAACAGAAGTTTTATTTTCCACAGTAAAGAAGTTTTAATGAATCGTAAAATCTTGGTCTGCAACAATATTGTGTAGTAGGTACTTGTGTATAGTGTATACTATACTATTATACCTACGCGTACAGTTTTTACAAAAAAATGTTCAAAATGTGTTACATTTGTAAGTTAATGATGATAATTACATCAAACTACACCATACATATAGGTACACTGAATAATTATATAATATTATTTCCCATATTACTCAATACCCTATACATGTTTTTTAATTCTGTTTGCTGGACACGACACTAGACCATTTGTTCATCAATCTCCAGAATTCTAAAATATGTATAAGGTGCTGAGCAATGTAGGTAACTATGAGTTATAAAGTGTACCTAGTTTTCGCGGACACACGGTATCTTCGTATGATCTCAAATTAATAATTGTAGAGATAATGTATTATTTTATATACATTAAACTAGCTATATTTGGAGAATGTTAACCAGACATAGGTAGGCACTCCGTTGAACGACATTTGAATAAAATGTGTATGTGTGAATACCTAAAATAAGTACTGTTGTGAGACCAATGAACTGCCAAGTGAATATCATTGACTAGATATCGTGACTCGATACCATTAGGTGGGTACAACTGTCATTTAGGTTTTAGTTGATTTAAAATGGTTTGTATTATAAAACGCATACATTTATATTGTCGGTTTTATAAGAATTTACTGTAGTTCTTAAACGTTCAAAAGCAAAATATGGTGTTCATCAACTTACCCGCTGGTACAATGTGATAAACACACGGTTGCGATTGGGTTGCCAAAGAGTTGGTTGCCCAGCACAGGAGTGTACCAAAGTCCAATACTTTGAACTTAATGGTGGCCATGCTTTTGTCAGAATTAGCAACGTTCATCAAACCGGATACGGAGTTGTTGAAAGCCCAACGGAACGAAGTAGGTATAGGATTGCTGTTGACGTCACACTTGACCCACGCAGTTTCTCCTTTGTGCGCTCCGTATACGCGTTGTTGATCGGTTTTACAAGATGGTTCGTCTATAATTTCGTCGACACGGTTTTAGAGTTTTCAAACAGATATTTTACTTAAAAAATATTCATACACTTGCGTGTGAAGGATTTAAGACCAAACACAAATTTTACTAATAACCAATACAGAGAGTGGCGGATTTACTGAGGAGGGAGCAGGTCCAGTGCCCCAAAACCAATATAAATATTTATTTTATATTATATTATATACACTAGGACATACGGTTATTAATTATATAGGTACCTTTATATTTCAAGTATACTGAAATAATCTTGTGTTGAATAATTTTTTTTAATTTTTCAACAATTATATATTTATAAAAATTAAAATAATACCCCCCCCCTAAAAATGTTGAAAATCCACCACTGAGGACAGATAGTTGGCATTTCAATTTTAAACTATATTATTCATGTGCTGGCGGTTACGGTTAACTTTAGGTTAGAACCACGTGGTAGTTGATTATAGCTATGTTAAGTCGTAACGAAAGCGTATCTATACGACCAGTATACACTTTTCAATAAGTATGTTGTTGAAAAAAAAAACTTTACTCTTGAATTGAGCTGTATTTTAATCTCTTACGATCATATCAATTAGTATAAAATGACAAGTTTAATGTTAATTTGTACCTATATTAACTATCGAAACTAGAACCAACACGGAACAAGTACCTAGGCATAAGTTATTGGAAGCAGATAACTAATACCTTTAGTCGATTGAAGCCGTAATTAGCATATACGGCTTATATACATCTTAATTATGAAAAAAAATACATAGTATTTATGATTTCCCTTTATTGTCACACGATCAATTAGGGTTTGATGTTAAATTAAAATAAATTAACAACGATAACCTAAAATCGTGAACATAACTGAAGATAGCTTATGAAAAATAATTATTGAATTTATAAGAATGTGAAAATGAATTATTGAAAAACTATATAAATTAAGTTATGAATCTGCGAACAGTATCAAATAATACACAGCACTATATTTAGATCTTAAGATTATAATATTGTATTATTTATTATTTACTATTAACATTTAGTCATATATTTATTGTGTCAATACAAGTATAAAATAAACATTTATGTACAACTAAATATCAATGTAAATTACATAGAGTTTTTAAGTTCAGAGACGTAGCCACTAGCCAGGAATATGAAATGGAGGTAGGTATAAATTAAACCAAGTTTTTTTACAGTTTTCTTATATAAATAATACATTTATTAGGGGAAAAGTTGTCAGCGGGTGAGGGGAAGGGTCCCTCCTGGCTACGCCACTGCTTAAGTTATGTATTAATAAAAACACATAACAATGTCGTCAGAGGCGAACATTAAATTACATAAGCAGTAGGTATTATTTTATTGCCCGGTGTAATTTGTCAGTACTAATAATTGCATTCATTTTTGCTTGATAGGTATATTTTAATTTGGCATTTAAAAACAATTTATTAGTTATAAGAATAAATTTACCTAATATTATATTAGTAGAATAAAATCTTATTTTGAAATATGCGCCATTTTAAACAATTTTCTTCTTAAATGCCGAAAAATTCGATTCGTCTTTATCACTTGAAATAAATATTTAACTATCGTAAAACTTGTAGGTATAAGCATATAAATAAGGTTTATGTTTATTGTATTAAACATATAGTAGGTATATATTATATATATGCGTGTAACTAATGAGCTTATTAATTTAGATTAATATTATAATTGTTGTTGAACTAAAGTTTTGAGCCTTAAATAATATTACTATGTCAACTTATATATTATTTACCCCTTACGAGATTTAATACAATTAATGATATAAAATAATATATACACTTTGCACTTAGTGGGAGTTAATAATATTTTATATTTAAATTTTGAACACTGTAAAGTCAGTCTAGACCTCTAAATTTAACAGAAATCTGTCTGAAACAGAATAATTTTATGGCTTAATAAATAATAAATAAATATTATTAAATTCACATAAAATGGTCTATAGCGAAATTTATTAGTGGTATCCGGCAATGAATCCGTTTCTATACCGATTATCCTGTGCGACCACAGTAATTTTAGCTTGATATTAATATTTTTACGACCACCGGAACGATAAATAACAATTGACGATTCTTATTGCATAATATCAAAACCAATGACTATGTTATTATTATTATATAGTCTGTATATTTTTTTTAAACATTTAAAATATACTTTGAGACACGCGAGTATTTGTTTTATCAGGTACACATATTTCTTGTATAATACGACATCGTCGGGCTTAAGTATTAATCGAAGAATTAATGTGAGCCCTTCTCGTTGATATTATGCATAATAGAAAATTGGTTATCCATAAAAAAAAATCAGTGAAAATAAAATACATAGACATAGGTATGTATATCATAACTAAATTAAGTTGTACAAATACATAAAATAAATAAAACCATTGATTATGAATACTAATTCGGTTGGTATATTTGTAATATAAAACACTAACGAAATTATGAGTGTTGTGTCACCACTATACCTATACTCATCATAATGACCCGTCATCCATTTTAATTAAGTGGAAATTATATGCGATATTATGAGAACTCACATTTAACGTCAAGGTTATAGGCATCGCTTATCGATTTTCCTCTGGCATTTGAGGCTATGCACCGGTAACTTCCAGAACCTTTGCGTGTAATTGATTGCAAAACTAACGTTTGATTGCTCACAATTGTCCTCCGGCTTTCATGCTGTCCGACATTTGATCCCTGGAATAATTTATATTGAAAAAATCACTCAGATTTGTTCAGATATTTACAACGAACAACAATCTAATAGTAAATATTTTATTTTTTGTAACGTGCTTATCATTTTGAATCGAAACAATTTAAAATGTTCATAAATTGTTACACTGACATTGTGATCCCAATCAAGTCTGGTAATGGACGGCGAAGCATTGATGGTGCATTCGAAGTACACATCCGATCCTTCTTTAATGTTGGAAACATTTAGGTTCCTGCCCAAACATATTTTTAGCCTCGGAGGATCTAAGTAAAAATAATTTGCGATGAAAAATTACGCAAGACTTATATAATTATAAATACCGTACAGTGAACGTTAAGTATTATTTGTTGTTCTTTTGAGTCAGCTGGAAAATATATGTTGCTTGCAACACAGCTTATAACACTTTGATTATCGTCATCAGAGGGTACTAATTTTAAAGTGCTCCATGTCATATTATTATTTCCAACCACCTGAAAATATAATATATGATACGAAGTTAAGTAAGTTATATTTTATTTTCTAATTTGTACATGATAATATGCATATAGGCAATATTTGTTAAATTTAAAAAGAAATTATTTTTTTTATGAAAATGTTTTGTTTTTATGTTGTTCATTTTACAAGTATTTATAAAATACAAATAAATATTAATTTTTATAAATTTTTTTATCTTCAATTACAAATTATAATTAATTTTTAAGTATCCTATATAGAATATAGGTACTATATGTATGTTGTAAATACTAGTATATTATAGAAATATTGAATTTTTTTCTTAAGAAATATAGAACCCGGGTTACCACGTTTTGATGAACTTGTACAATTTAACTTTATGCAAAATATATAGTCACAAAAATTTAATTTAAATAACATTTATTCATAAAAAAAAGTAAGAAGTAGGTACTTGTTTATTTTTTTACTTTAAATACTCAAAGAATATTAATTATGGTTTTATAAACGACTGGTATAACCCAATTGACAAGAACAGACCATTCTATAGAATTTGTTAAAATAATTTATGATTAATTTTGGTCGTACATTTTGTTAAATGATCTCAGTACGCAAAAGAACAACAAAAGAAACTGGGTCGAGTCCTTTTCATTGTGGTTGACCTTTCAAGAACCGATAATACTTTGATCATTTCAAAACGTTCGGGGCAATATACTCGATTGAATCAAACATCATGGAAGTATGGAACTATTCGATCGCATACATTTTATTTGCATTTCATTTTATTAAACGGTACCTACGTATTATTCAATCAAGAACACTGTATAAGGCAATAATATGGCAATCTACGTACCTTTATCCTTTTTGTTTCGTACTCGATGACCCGTCCATTGTGGTACCATGTTATGTTAGCTGCTGGCCTTGAACCATATGAAATGCAATCGAGATTACTTGGCTCTCCTGAGAGAAAAGGGTGTTCGGCTCCTGTGATGGAAACGCTTAATGGTTTCACTGTGAAATGTTTCGAAACAAAATTTAATAAGATAATTTGGTAAAAATAATTGTTACCTAACCTTTAAAAACAAATATTTTGTTTAATTTCTTTGGATTAAGTGTGAAGTTCTTGATTTAAAAAAATTATAATTGAAAACACGATTTCTCATATTATAATATAAGAACAATTCTAAATATTTTACAAATCTGACCATTGACGACATTGTAAATTGTAATATAATTTAATCTTCTGATAAAATTTTTCTCGTAAAAGAATAGTAGGCATGTAGGTAAATACTAGAAACGTGACAGTAAATTGATCCTGTTATCATAAAATTGGTACTTAACAAAGGATATTTTTGAATTTAAAGGTAAAAATCAAGCAATCCACAAGTTACTAAAAAAAATTAAGACATTTATGTATACTATCACAACTTTTTTACTAACTATAGGTTAGTATGCATTTTTAACAACATTTTCATAAATCTTCGATGATCATTCAACATTGCTTATTTTTTTGTCTAAGAATAGATCTAAAAGCTTATAATCATAAATAATAAACTATTTGTTCAGAATGATTCACCAAGCAATGACCATCACTGATCACTCTCATTTTTCTTTTCATAATACAAATATCAAAATTCAGAGTTTTTTGTAATTTTTTAGTTCTAATTGAGGAAAATATTTTAAAATACATAGATTTTTTACATTTAAAGAGTAATCTGTAGCGATACTAGTTAATTGTTTCAATTATTTAGAAGCAATATTTTTTATTTTAAATTACGAATCTGATGTTTTTCGAAAATGTTGATGTATCTAATTCAAACGCCGAATTAGTAGGTAGTTTCAGAATGATTAAATTATGTAGGTATACTAAGGATAATAGTCGTAAAATGGTTTTGCGAACAAAATAAAATATATGTAATATTTAAATTAGTACTTATTAAACTCAGACAATTTTTATAAAATATGAATTGTTGATGGATTAATATTAATTACTATAATTTTCAAATCCCCAGACTTATTCTCATGGACTTTTTATCCTTAATACACAAAGTTAAGCAACTCAAAAACTACACATTTGAATTTCAATCTGAATTCAACAACATTTTAAGATAAATCATCTGCTCCATAATGTATAGTAAAAAAGGTTGGTTCTCATTTGAAAAAAAAGCTTATACCACTTCGGGCCACTCTTTAAATTATTTAAAAATAAAAGCGTTTTAAAATATGGTCCTTAAGTATATTTAAAATTCCCAAAATCAGAACTTGAATACATTTATTATTAAAGGAAAATTGGGGGAGAGCTTGCTAGGTAAATCACAATATATACCTCTATACATCTCTATATAATTTATAATAATTTTTTGTTTTTTGTTCAAACAGTTAGTACTCCGTGTAAATTGTTATCAATATATTATTCTAAAAATTTAGTCTTCGTAATTCAACCACATTGGCAATTTAATACTTTTCTAGATAATTTTTATCCCCATGAGTTACTTACACAAATAAGTTCTTTGGCACAGGTATCTATTTTTTTTTAGTTCTATTTCTGATGAAGTTTATTGTATAATGTCTTTACGTGGTTTTACATTTTATGTCTCCTTTGGTAATCTGGTCCACATTATACAGTAGATTATCTCTAGAGATGAGTACCAATTTGTACTTTATTTTCCTATCACATAATTTTGTACGTAGATGTTAAATTTAGAAACGTTACTGTCGTGTCTTACTTACAACGTTTAACACGTTAAAATATATATATATTTATTATTCAATTCACAAAAGAATTTAGTTTTTGAAATGTTTAACTGCAATATTATATTATATCTTACAGGCATTATACAGCTTGTAAGCTTACAATCGAAAAAATCATTTTTTTTTAGTTAGAATAACATAATATACCATATATTACCCTACATGATATGTATCTATATTGAGTGTAAAATAGCATATATTATATAATTAGAAAGCCACATAAATAATATACATATATATATATATAATATGTCTCATCCACATAGGGTAATTCAACTTCTTACAAAATTGATATTCATTTAATGATTTATCCTCCTATTAGAATTTACCATCCTAACGCGGAAGTCATTTTTAGGTTCCACGTGGATACACATTTTATACATTTCATAAAATGTAAGCCATTATTAATTTACACTTAAATTATTATTGTATTTTGTTTTAAATGTATAGTTAATCTTTCATCAGGAAATAGCAAGCGCTGGGACTTCAAAACCCCCACCTGGCCACCTGGGGCAATATACATTTTTTGTATTATTATAATATATAGGTAGGTACCCACTGATTAGCTTATAACAAATTAACGTAGTAAATAGGTAGGTAGTAGGTACGCAAAGTTTTTAATATAAACACATCTATAATAATTTAATAATTTAAAATTAAACATTGACTGCACTATATCCTATTAAAACTTAAATATCGTATTTAGCATAATTTATACAAATTTATAACATATCACCTGAAATTACCAACGGATGAAACATAATATAGGTACAGAGATCCTTATAAGAACTTTTGTACAGTTATATAGTTGTGTGTACGTTATTTTACGCTGTGACATTACATAATTAAAAAAAAAATCTAATCGTATAAAAATGTAAAGAGAATTATATTTTAGCAACCTCGGATTATTATGAAAACTTCAATATAAGGTACCTACGTAAATATAGGTGATAAAAGTTAAGTGAAAAGACATTAAGTTTTTTTTGTTTTCTTATAAAATTACCCAACTATTACCTTTATTTATTATTGCTCTGAGAAATTTATTTCCACTTTGTATTGGGATTTTAATTAAACATTATAATAATTGTAGTCATTACGTAATTAACGAGAAATAATTAATTTTCGATAAATTATAAAAATGTGTTATATTATTTATTTTCCATTACTGCTTGTAAAAATTCCCAAATTAATAATATCTATTGTACAATACTATAGTCATTATTAGTGATTACTATATATATATTATATTTACCTTGTATACGATTAGTTTGTCTGTAATTAACCTTAATTGTTATACCCTGATGGTCTGATTTAATAATGTATTATTGTGGTTTTATAATAATGACTACACATCATTTATATAGTCTAGCGCTGAAACCCCCAAACTTGATACATCATTTACAATAATGGTTTGTATACTTTATGTAGTGATCTAATAGAATTTTTTTTTCTTATATTAGTATATTAGGCAATTTAATATATTATACTATAATAACAATTTTCATTCTTTATATTTTTGGTAGAAGTAGAACCAATAGTGCATTATTAGGTATATTAATTTTTAAAACGTGGTTATTACCTATCTATTATTAATATTGCTTAGAGAAATATTTTATTAGAATAAAATATAGGTATAAAGAACGAGAAAATAATCCACAATATTTGCAGCTTTTGAGGGGCTCGTTGCCAGTTTTTAAAATATTCCGCAATTCTATACAATTTGTAAATTATATTTAATATTTTAGTTGTCACCTTAATTATAATAATTTTCCACTAATCTATTTAGGGGGGGAAGGGTTGATTCAGTGTATTCTATCGAAAAAAAAATTACTTAACAGGAATAATTTCAGGCCTATTGTAGAATGGTCGGAATTTGATAACAATTTTATTTATCTGAAAGAAGAAGACTTCTTACAGGCAGCATTGAACTCCGATTTTTTATTTTATTTCAAATGAAAATAGTAGAATATTACCCTCTAATAGTTAAAAAAAAAATCATCAAATTTGGTTGATTCTACAGAACAGGGTCACTATAATTCCCTTAAAGTGTATTTTTGTGGACAAAATTACATTGGCACCGGGCACCTTAAAGCTACAGGCTGCAATTTTATATTCAACGATAGGTATACAAACTCGTCAACACGGAATATTTTCCGTAATATTTTTACCATACCACAACAAAAGTTTACTTTATTCTAATTATCCATTTCATCTAAAATAAGTTTTATGTTCTACGGAAGTATAAATAATCCCTCAATTTATATACATAAAGAACGGTCGGGGTTTAGTAAGTTATTTTATCCCCGCACGTACTTTAAATATACCCTGTATACATTTATACGGCTCCAGTATCCGCTGTTAAACTTTTAACATGACTTTGTTTCTTTGTATGATACATCAACGTTTTTAGAAAAATATTTTCTTTTAATTATTAAATTAAAATAAATTAACGGATTATAAATTAAAAGTTTTTATTACATTCGCAAATAGGTAAAAGGACGAAGAATAAATTATTAGAATAATTTTGAAATTATTTAACATTTTGAAGTAGAAACTAAAAAGTTTAAACAAAATTCTATAATGATAATAATAAACATTGATACTGATTCTGAACAAAAGTTTAATTCACATAAAATTCACAATCAATATATCATGATAGTATGTACAACGTAGGTACATCGTGCTTAGGTACGTTGAATAAGTTAATCTTCAAATAACGTAATTAATATGTAATACAATTCACAATAATTAATAAATAATTACTTTTAGTCCATATATTTTATTTACATTTCATCCGTGACAATGTGACATATTATGTTAGCACAGTTGAAATTATTTTACATTACCCTTGGGAACTTAAATCTTGATAGCTCGAAAATTATCGATCGTTTTAATGTCATTCATTCTCCTTGAGAATAGCATGCGTTCAATATACTTTTCAACTAATTTTTTCTAAACTTCAGTTATTTTTACATGCGAATAACGAACATGATGACGTGCATGGTGCATCATATTATAGTATTAGATGGGATAGTCGATAAAAAAAAAAAAAAAAGATGGGTAATTGGGTGTCAATCTGCTGTACAGTATAGGTTAGGTTAGATAAGTAGGTCATAGGCGTGCGCACGGGGGCAGCAGAGGCAGCATATGCTGCCCCTGGACTTACTTTGGGGCCACCGGGGCCGGCAAATATTAAATAATGGGCCTCGGTAAAATTATATTTCCACAAAGGATTTTTTTGTTTTGATAAACTATAGATAAATATTTTATATATATGCTTGTAGAAAAGTACACCTTTAGTGGCTTAGTACCTTACTGTACAACCTTTTATCCAAAAAAACAAATAACCAATACAATTTTAATTTTTATATCCAATAGTAAAAAAAGTAAAACTATGGGCAGGTTTTAATGGTGAATTTGAAAAATGGGCCGAATTAATCTCTTGCTGCCCCTGAAACTGGAGGCTGCGCACGCCTATGAAGTAGGTCACTGTAATGGAAGGTGTTAAATTTGAATTCAATGATATAATATCATTTTGTAAGAAAAACGATTCTGAGCGAAAACGGTCAGACTGCCTATGATATAATTGATATTACTAAGCATATATTTTGATGATATTATTGTGAATAAAGTAATTTATATATAACTTATTTAAGTGGAACATTGTTTTAAATTTTCAATCCTTATAGCTATAAAAGTTGAACATTTTATACATTTTTAACTACAAAAAAATTATTAAATTTTAAATTCCATAAATTTTGTCAAAATTCAAACTTTAAATGCTTATAAAAAACAATCGTGCCTATGTATTTTTATTATTTTTCAACTGCTATTGTAACAATATATCAAAAACAAATTTATGGTGTATAGAAAATGAAAATAAACTAAAATAAAGTGAAAATGCCATGTATCTACGGTCCTTGGTTTAGAGTTACACCAAAAACCAAAATCGAGTTTGTCGAAAACCGATTTTGCTTAAAAATTCCCGTTTTTCCTTAATTTTTATGTTGTTTTTCTCGACACTTTTGAACACTATTGAGAATTTTAAAATTTTACCTCACGAACGCACCAACTAGATTCAATTTCCCAGCGAACAAGATACTGTTGAAGAAAATCGAAACAGTATTACTGCCCCAAACGGTGGTGACAGACACAAAAATAAAAAAACACACATCATTGTAGAATCAATACGTTCACCGATCCGCTCAGAGTCTAAAATGTTTATTTCTAAAATGTTCGGTCCTATTATAAAGTGGGTGATTATAAATGTTAAACTTACGATAAACATTCATAGTAACCGACGTCGATATTTGAATGGTGTTTTTCATGTTGGACGCTTCGCAAATGAGTTTTCTACCGAGATTTTCTCGATGAACGTGATCAATTCGTAATACATTGGCCACTGTATTGTCGTCTATCTCAATGCCGTATATTGTACTGTCTAAATTATTTTCTCCTCGGATATTCCACGTTAGGCGTGGTAAAGGATTTCCTGTGTAATAAAAACAAAATACTTAAAACAGTTATAATAAATATACATTTTTATTTAATTATTACGATGCCTTTTCGATAGCGGCATATTATTTTCAGTTGCAATATTGTTTAGTTGATTTATATTATGGTTTTTATCAATTACCGTCTGAACGATTATATGGATATATTACCTATAATGGATTTTTTACACACGAAACATAATGTCGTAAGATTAAAAACAATGATGACTAGTGTTCATGCACAAGTCTATAGTAGGTATCCTTGACAGTATCCGACTTTGACAAGCGCTTTTCATCTCTTAGTCAACTACACGAATCTAGTAGATTTTAATAATACTCAATACTCAGGTACCTATTTCTATACCTACCAACATGATATTATAAACGGAGAACAATTATTCATGTAAGATAAACAAATGTACCTACAACACTCCAGCTGAGATTATGGTATAGTAGGTATCTATGTATAGCAGATAGCTGGCGAAATTTAGCGCAGTTATTCTAACGTCGAGTGTGTAGAATGATCTTAGAATTGTTTTCCTCTCAGTGAGGGCAAGGGTTTGATACTTATATCAGCACGTTTTTAAGATGTGTTTCACTCGATTCGTTCTTCTAATATTTGTATAGCACAAATAAACATAATATCAAAACACGTTTGGCTTTATCATAATAACATTAACTAAGACGATGTGAATAATATTGAATATTCATATAATATGATAAATCTACCACATATTTTATAATCAAATCATTTATGCCCGATGACATGATGTATAATATATACGAGTTCATCAATGTTCACACGGATATTATGTGTTTTGTTCAGATAAAATGATATGCTAGTGCAATAGTACATTGTGTTAAACAACGAAACATGGATTATTAAATTATTTCATTTCACCAGTTACATAATAATTACATTACATTACAAATACCGTTGATATTTCTATAAATAGGTTCAGGTTTAATTTTCCCAGTGGTATTTAAACTTACAACATCGGGCGTATTTAGTATATAATATTATGACATTTTTATTTTCTCGACACAATGATGGAAAACCGGAAACATTATTTATTTTTCACAAAAAAATATTAGGTAGGTATATGAAGTTATTTATGTCGATGAAATATAAACACTAACAGTGTCGACGTCAGTATTACAGTTTACATTGCCATTGTATTCTAGAAAATACATTATTTATATAGGTATTATTATTTGAGTATATGACCCAAGTCACAACTCCCGAGTCATGATTCCCGAAGGTACAAATTATAATGCATGATCGATAGTAAGGATGTGCATTTAAGAGATATATCCAAGTATGAATGTATATTATAATACGACGACATGTTGATAAAATTGTTTAGAACTAGATAGGTGTTCTTTTTACCAAACGCATCTATTCGTTGTACTTTTGACATTTTTTAAGATCTTTGTAATACTACATTAATAACTAAGCCACCATAATATTTTATTAAGAGGACGTCCTACCCGCAAGCGAATTATGAGCATTTTAAAAATATTAATATTTTAAATATTCATATAACTCACTTAAAAATTAAAATATCGTAAAAAACCAACGAGAGAACACAGATAATGTTCTTACATTTAAGTTTGATAATAGGTCAGTTCACTCTAATATTTGAGCTAACAACCCAAAATTGATACTTCTGGAGGTAGGTACATTTTGATATATTATGCGTTAGTAAGACGGAAACCACACATGCAGTTACGACGTCCTCTTAACTGAATAGTCTGAATGAAAAAGCATATTTTCAAACTCAATCATAATATTGTAAAATATGGTCGTTTCATTTGGAATATTACAATTTAAGGTATTAAATACGGTGATCTTAAAACAACAGAGTTTATCAAAATTAGAGATTGGAAAAAGTATATAAATGTTGTAACAGTACATTTGCTGCCGATGTCGTAATATTTTGTAATTACTTACCTAATTAAAAATAACTAATAACCAGGGCTCGGAAGTTGTAGCACTAAAAATGTTACTTTTTAGCTCTTAAATATGCACTTAAAAACTCCAAAATATGCGCTATAAATAGCACAATAAATCAAAAAATATGCTTGAAAATATTAAAATTTATTAGAAAAAAATTAAAAGTAATTTCACAATTTTATAAAACTGTTGGGCTCATAGACGTCAGGGACTGTCTGGACTAGTTGAATTATGAACTGTTAACAAATATATTAAATTCCTTAAATATGTTTGTAAAAGTGTACTTATAAGGTATATTTATTTCCTAATCGAGTTAATCATTATTTTCAACATAATGTGATAATTTTCTATATTTTGTATAATATGTAGCTATGTATTATGTATACTATGAAAATATACCCAAAAATAGCAAAATAGCAATACAAACCTTAAATATGCGAAAAATAGCAAAATAAAATTTCTTGAATTACATCAGAGAAGTGTGATACATATTTGTATCTTACTTTGGATGTTCTAAGAAGAACCAAGAAAAATATGAATTTACTAGAACTTCCGAGCCATGCTATAATAGGTGGGTATCCTACAATAGGTAGGTACTTATGTTTTCTAAAAAAAAAACCAACTGAAAAAACAATGTTAATATATTATTTGTACGGGTGTTCTGTTAAATTATTCTGTTAAATCCATGATCTTAACATTTCAGTTTTTTTTCTCGATAATTTTCAATATGCTACAAAGTAATAATTCATATTGTCGGCGTTAATACAATTTAATTATATTTTATAATAATTGTTATTTGTTATGGCGATTGGTGGCGGTCAGTTAATTGAACTAAAACTGCAAAACAAACCAATCAATCTAGTGATGCGATAATAGACTTTTGAAAACTGATTTGAATTCGTTATTGTTATTGCGCGTGTATGCCGTCTTGATACCACGCAGTATACTTTTCCCAATTTTGTTCTCCTACTATTCCATAAAATTGATTCGAATATTTCAGAATTTGAGAAATTTAATATGTTGAGTACTCCAAATTGAAATTAGAAATCTTAAAACTACGTGCACGATCGATGGACATTTTAACGAATTCAGTATCCAGGTCATCGGGACTATTATGGCAGGTCAATCGGTAGGATTATTACGAAAAGTACATACTTTTGGCCGAATAAGAAACACGTTCTGACGCCGTGGTGGTGACTTGTAGGAGCCGGTGCATATTATTATCATGACACGTTGTAGTGCGGAGACACACACTAATCACAGTTTACTACACACACGGTCGCAAGTCACGCGCGTTCAAGCATTAAATATTGCCTATACCGAACTCCTTAAAATATACACCGGCGCCCACCACAAATCCTCTTGTAACATCGATATTACATCAAATTACTGTGCTATTACCTTGCGTAAATACATCCAATGATATCGGTATTCGGTACACGCGTAGGCAACTATCTAGTTGAAAAGTTAAATTAAAATACACGACTATAAAATCCTTTCATAACATCAATATATTATTACATCGAGTTATATTATTATCTTGTGTAGGATACATCCAATCGTATCGGTATATACAAGCATACCTACCTTGTTGAAAAGTAAAAATATACACAACCACGAATCTCCTATTATAACATCAATATTACATCAAGTCACATTATTATCTTGTGTAGAGTAGAGATCCCAGAATTATTTTTATATGGGATATTTGAATTATACCTATACTTGTAATTTACATAGATTTTAATTAAATAGTAAATTTATTATATTATTTTAAAGAAATTTAATTTTAAAAGAACTAATTTTTTTAAGACCATCGCATTTTTAAATTTTGTAATAATGGTAATCTGTAACCTAACCCTAATTGTACGCCACAGGGGTAATTAATTTAACGCAATATTGCAAGACACTCAATATTTCAGAAAACACTTGTGTTTTAAAATATTTCTTCTACATAATAAAATTATTCTAAGTCATTACAAAACACCATTATGGAAAAAATTGTATTTTTACTTTTGTTTTCTTTATATATTTTTAAGTTTTCTTACGTTTTTGGATAACAGCATACATAGGTATCATAGATTATGATTGAGGCTATGAATGAAATTATTTTACTATGATTGAATGATATTTTTTTTCTGTCTCTCATTCCCTTTTGGGACAATAACAACGCTTTAGTTTTCTATTTAAGCATATTATCTAGTAGGAGAAAGAATTAAGTTGGTACTTTTAGGGTTCAAAAGTATAAAAGTTTTCGAAAGCATTTTGAAAACGGGATTTTTTACTCAAATCCATTTTTTATACAAAATAAAATGTTCAAAACAGTGTTTTTAATAGATATGTTTAGTTCAAATTTTGATGAAAAATTTTATTTAAACAAAGAATAACAATTTTGAATATTTTGTTGTGATTTAAAAATATTATTCGTTGGTACTTGAAACTTTTAAAGTATGTATATTATTATATTTTAATTAATACAAATTATAAATTACATTTAAAAATGCAATTTTTCGGCAAAAAATCAATCTACTGTATTAGGTACTAATGTCTAAAATAAATAAATAGTAAAATTACTTATTTCAATAGCAATAATAATATCATGAATATGCTTCAGAATAGGTTTCCGCATCTATACAATGGTTTTATATCATTGAATTCAAGTTTAATAATTTTTTTTACAGTGACCCACATCACACCTAATTTACAGCAGAGCGGTTCCTAATTGCCAACCTTTTTATATATTGAATTATTCCAAATAGTAATCTGCTTTGGAATAAGTAAACAAATTAATAAATGATAAGGATTACAAATAATAAAAACTAAAAAGTATATTTATTTAGAAAAATGTTTTTTTTTCAAATGAAAATGAATAAATAAGAATCATTTATAATTATGTAAAAAAACGTTAATGTTTTTGAAATATTTAAGTGAGCCACACTGTATACTTTTTATTTTTTAACAACACTAACCTTTGTATTTGTATTATTTCATAAAACCATGATCAAAAACTAACTCTTGAGTACATATTAATTAATTATAGTT